GAAAAGAAATATCTTGATTCAAATCCAACCATAATGCCTAGCTGTATAGTTTGCGGATGAAATTTCTGATGTTCCCCGTGGATTATCTGAATGGCAAATGGCAACAGGTTTTCCCTGCAACTCAGGATGGTTCCGGACAACCACTGATACAAAAAAGCAATCCTAACACACAAAACACACACACACACACTAAAGCTTATATTGCCATATACAAGCAAATTGCCAATAAGAAACACTTCATAGTAGATTAACTATCCAGCTAATAAATGAAAAACTTATGAATTTTACCCAACCCTCCATAGCTGAGGGTACATTCTGAAGGATGGAAAATAGAACCGTTATTGAATAAATTACCATGTCCACGTGAATTATTGGAGTGGCCTGAGATTCTTCAGATGATATGACAGCCGTGCATCTAAATCCATCAGAAGAGCTTGGAAAACGCTTACGATACCGGTTTTTCCAGGTACCAATAAAATGCAACCTCGAATTCTGAAAATTTAAGGATGAAAGATAGAAAGATAATCATTAAAGCGTACGGAAGTCATCAGTTGATGAGTTATTTTATCTGAACCGTACTACATACGAAGTATTAATTTATTCTTCCATTACAACATAAATAGGAGAAAAATTGAAAAAAAATAGATGCTAACGAAAGTACTATTTGTTCATTGGAGGATAAGCAATGAACTACAACTATAATACAACAAATAATTCAAGCTCAGAACTAATCATCGCTTGAACCAAATATAGATCCAAAACAAGAAAAGTTGGAGACAAGGAAATACAAAGCAAATGAAAATCGTGTACATGACTACATGTATGTAAATTTGAAACTAGCCTACTCATAAATCATACCCATAATTCATAAAGTATGCAGGTAGATTTAAACTCCTAGTTCTTCACCATAATGCCTGATAATATTCTGGCTAATATTGTAATGCTAGGTGTCCTAGATTCATGTTTTTTACCTTGAAATAATTTTCCATGAAATTTGCATCCATTACACTTGAGTGCAGCTTATTAGGACTATGAGCTTTTAAAATTGATGCCTCTGTATCCATCTCATTCAGGCAGCTACCAGAAGCATGAAGAGGGCTGGGGTGGGATGTATTGAAGCTTGCATTACCACTGCAAGATGAATCTTCAGCTTCAGTTCCATTATAGTTCACATGACTAGGAACTAGAGATTCTGGAATGCATGCACTAGCATCTGCGGGACCCCTTACTCCAGAAAGGTGACCACAATCAGTGATGATCCCTTCCATCAATGGCATCTCAACATTAGATATTACCTGGTCAGGAGAGTTTTTTTCTATAATAGCAGGCGATGTGGAGTTCTTTGAGGTAAAGAAAGCAGACAATTTTGGCTGGTTATTAGCTTCACTTGCAACTTGATCCAGTTGATAAGGTACCCCTTTAAATAATCAATCTGGAAATCAGTTTCATCATAAATGTAAAAGAATACTTGCATTATCAAGTGCTTGATTATTAGTGTTTTATAGTAGCAAGACTAGTAATGAGTAATTTAAAAGTTAGTGCATAATCTCTACTAAGTAACCATGCACATAAAACTTTTCTCCATCATCTCTGATAGAACCAAAGATTCACTTTTTTTGTCTTTGGGGTATGATGGAATAAAGCAAAATGCTTCTTTAAACTGTATGCACTACTTTCAATAGTGAAGTAGCAATTAGTCAATGCAACTTTCGACACTCATCATGGGTTATCTCGAAACAGCCCCTCTATGTTTTAAACAGGGGTCAGGCTGCGTACATCTCCCCCTACCCCAAAATGGGCAGGAGCCTTCGAGGCACGAGGCTAATGTTGTTGTTGTAGGTAAGAGACATACAAATATTCCCCCTTTTGTAGTTTATACCTTCCTAATATAAGGTAATGTTGTTATGCAATAACCCATTAAAACAAACCCAATAAAATTCTATAGAGTGCGGTCTGGGATTAGAATTCAAAATTTGATAGGAGACTCATACTGGTGAAACCTGGAGGGGGAAAAGAATACTTACAGCTCAAAAGTCTATTAGCAGCAATAGAATCTAGGACCCATGCAGGTTTAACTACCGGAAGTCCTCGACTAAAGGACCTGCCGTATAAAATTGGTAGAGACTATTATGTTTAGCGAATCAAATAAATTATATTTCATGTGAGATGCAAAATATGACAGGATCACAAACCTCACATTCTTGATTTTGCTATCGGGGAGATTGCTGCAGATTATATGAGTAACACTTTGCCTTGAGAAATAATTTTCAAATCTCCCCCCATGCCTCAACATATAACCTCGGAGTTCCTAAAAAAAGAACATTTAAAAAGAAAAAACCTGCCTGCATCAATGAACTGCTTCACAAAGCAACTAAATTGTCTGCAATTTTAGATGAATAAATGGTTTAATGTTGAAGTGGATGTAAACTTGAGTATAAAAGAAATGTCTCAGAGCACAAAAATGAACCAGGAAACCATTCATCAGAGACCTGGTTGGAAGGAACAGTATATCCATCTACAAAAATTGAAACTCCATGAAATATAGGTCTTGATTCATTCGAAGGACTTGTCCCACTGTAAGAAGTGCTCGAAGCCTCTGCATCAAACTGCTCATGTAACTTCCGATTCTTCACAGACATGTAACTGGAAGATATCGCAATATCAGGTAGAAAAAACACTCCAAATTCAAAATCACGAATCAATTTGACGTGGTGAAGGTTAGATCAAATCCACGGTGTTAAATTTGTAAATAAAGACCAACATTTTTGTGTTCTA